ATCCAGATACAAAGCTTAAAAGAGCTGGCACTTTCATCATGAGAAATCAGTGAGATGATCTCAATAGCACCATTAGCTTTCTGCCTATTTTTTAACTGTAATTGAATTGTAGTAGGAAATGTATCTTTCTTTAGCACAGATGTTTGAAAAAAAAAAATCTTAATTTTTATGCCTCTGTGCTCAAGTGCCCAGTCAAAGTACTAGTGCTTTCAAATGGCTCATCCATTGCCAAAGTAGCCTCAGATGGGCCTTAAAATGGAAGGAAATACCTGACTTCACAAAGGTCTTCAGGAAATGCAGATCCTTAACATGATATATTGCACTATTGTGAAGACCATACCGTTTCCATCACGCTTACCTCTGTTAGGCACAGGAGTTGTGCACACACACTCGCTGAGCTGTATTCAGGTCACATACTTTGGTATCCAAAACAGACACAGGCACCTGTAGGTGAGAGAGCTGAGTGAATAACATGACCCATTGCCCATCTGAGAAGCACTTTGGCAAATATGCCAAAGAGAATATGCCTGCATTCAGATCAGCTGCTACGAGTGACCCACCTTGGCATTGTGATTATTTTTCATCAACTGCTGAGGGAGCCTGGTAGCTCGTGATCTGAATTACCCACATCTCTCATACACAGACAACTAAATCACGATAGTTACACTAGGTTGAAGTCGTAATTCAAGCTTCAAAATATTTGATCCTGCAGGAGGGTGTTAATGATTTTAACATTTCTCATTCATATGTGGCACTTCAGAGAGTCAGGGGGAATGGTAATGCTCTGAGCATATGACTTTGAATTTCTTGTCAAAGCAGTGATTCTAAACTACCTGTAGAAGCAACCAGCACAGCGTCCAGCCTACCAGACAAATAGATTTCAATAATTTATCTCTTCATCATAGCAAAGAGATTTTTATTTTTATACCTTCTTTGCATCCAGATTTGCGTGACTTCAGAAAAGGAACACGATGGCTTCATCAAAGTATACAGTGGGAAGAAGAAAGGCTTTGTCCCCATAGACGTCTTAGAAAACATCTGATTGCAACAGCCCGCTTGCTGCAGTAGGAGCCCTTTGTTGGCAATGCCTGTCTGCCTCATCTCACACTGTGTCAATCCAGATGGGCTGTCTTGCAGATGTTCAGGGAAACAGTGGGAAAACTGCAACTACAAGAAGAAAAAGACATTTAGACTGCCGCAGCAACACTAAGAAATAAGAAAAGTGGAATGATTGAAAGAAAATATAGTCAGAAACCTCTAGGGAAATGAGAGGCCCTTGGAAACTAATAGGAATAAGGTAAGAAAAAGAAGTCTGGGGTGATTTCTGGTGCAAGATGGCTATTGCAACCCTGATGGAAATGGACAGCTGTTCTAAAGGACTAAACTCAAGTCTCATGTCTTAGAAAACTATTGGACTACTTTCTTGTTGGAGATGTGTGTTTGGGAGGGAGGGAAGAATACCAGTCAAACTGTCCTCATACTACAGCCCAATGCTTGTAGTAAAGTGTGGCTGTGGTTCTACAGCTCTGTCCCCTGTATCAACTGATCAGTTTAAGCGTTTATTCCTGATGTTAGTCTCATATCAAAGCAGTTTGGAGTCACCATGTGGACGTCAGTTCAAAAAAGTGCACTGTGCCCTGGAGGTCAGCAGCTTTCTCTTTCTGTGCAATCTTACCTTATGAAAGAGTAGCGACCTTGTATGTCCTTTGTTTTCTCTGTATACAAACAAAAGCTCTCAGTGTGTGCCAGGTGTGATGGCTGCTCTCATAGCTCCCAGAAATGGCCTGCCCTGCGATTCAAGAGCCTTCTTGGAAGTGTCCCTCTGTGTTTCCTGCATTCTTATCTGGTGAGGGAGAAAATGGGAAGAATGCTGAGAGAGAGCCACAGGCTTGAAATGTTTTGTATTTTTCTGTGTTTATTGCACTTATAAGATTTTATATATTAATCCTATTTATATATACATAAAAAAAAAAGACAGTTAACTAACCCCCTGGAAGACTGAAAACACTAGGAAAAGGACAGACTGCGCACAGAAGTGAAGACTGTACCTAAACTCAGAACTTGTGACAGTAAGGCACTGAGTGTCTTAGCATTGTGGTCACCCACCAAAGTTGTCGTCTTCATCTGCATAGTTCTGCAGATTCATCGGTAAATGCACTCACATGAGTACCTCCTTGGCATTAACAACTGTGAGCCTCCCATAAGCCTTCTCAGTCCCAGTGCAACTGCACAGACGTGTCTGGTTTGTCCATGTAAGCCTCCATCTTCAAATATGTTTAGGGTATAAGATCTGGAGAGCAGTCTGTGGGACTTGTGGATTTTGACCAACTTATACAAAGTCAGCTGGTGCCAATCGTGTTGCTGAGCAGGGGCCTTATGATGTTCCAAAACAGTGAACCTAATTTCCAAGCATTTAATTGGATGTAATTGCACCAAATACACTTAAACAGCTTAGTATATATGATGACATAGAGATTAAGTCCTGTCCCAAAGCTCCCTGGTGAATTCACGCCTTATTTGACCAGCCTGAGATTGAGTGCCAGTCTTTAATACTACTGCAATTAGCCACAAATGGATGTCCTATATGCCAACGCTGCAAGAAGAAATCCAGATGCCGCCAGGTTAATACACGCCTTTGCAAAGTTGACACTGTTTCTAAAAAGATGCTGTCCAGTCTGCTTCCTTATATTGAGGCAGTTTGAATCTGTGTTGCACAGCCCAGGTCTCATAGTTGGGATGCCCAACAGCTGACCTTATGCAAAGCCTTATGAAATCCAGCGCTGTGCTACACATGACCAGAAGCTCACAGAGCAGGTCAGGCTGCAGCCTCTTCAGATGCATTTTGCAGCTCTTATCACTTAATTGCTGAGGAGGAAGTTACAGGGGTGTCAACTGTTGAAACATCGTCCTTCGTAATACAAACGGTCTACACCAATAATTCACATCCTTCTGGCTGATCAAAAGTATCTGATTTCATATCTCCCTCTATGGGAATATCAGCAATTCATAAATGGCTTTTCTACAGAGCAAACAATGAACGTTTGCTCAGCTCATTCTCCTAAGTAACCAGTGAACTTAGTGGGAAGAGGGAGGATTCTGACAAGCCTTAAAGATCAAGACAAAAAGTAAAGTCATGATAATCCACTCTGCTTTATATGATTTTTATATATATATTCACTAGTTCAAAGAAAAAACTCAAATGTTTGTTAGAATTGAAATATTTGCTATTTTTGATCAGACCTGTCAAGTGGGCAAAGGAATATTAATTAATATTAATCTATACATATGTGCTATTGTTTACATGATTGCATCATACTGTGATTCCCTATTTGAGTCTTCTATGATTTTAATTTATCCCTACAATGTGCATCAAGAAAGAAAGAATTCAAAGATATGAATATTACCTACAACTCACAATGGCCTTTAATCAATGTCAGTTTGATTCCTTTTGATACTGAGCAATAAATAATAAAGTGATTGAGTAAAACAAAACAAACCTTATGTTGGCTGCATTACGTCCGAGCAAGCATTGCTTCTGAACCAAAGCTTTCATGGTTATCTTTTCTTTGTGTATTTTGTTTTGTCTTTTTACTGGGTTTTTGCTGCTGTTTGATATGGAGATGTAATTTATACCTAATTTAGCAAGAAGCACATACATGAGTCTTACTTTAAGCATGTGATTCATTAGCTATTTGCACGCTTAAAGCTGAAGCACTTTGCTGAATCGAGGACATTTTCCTCAAATTAATTTTGGATGCCTTACTCTGAATCCAGATGAGTATCCCATTTTTTTTTTCCTACCATATGCAGTTTGCAATAGATACTGAATTAGCAAGCAGTTAAAAGAAGCTGGAGTGGAATTTATCTGACGTTTCCTCCGAAAATTTGAACTTTAGGAGATGAATGCTGTTCACACTTAATATTCTGCTTAATAAAGAATGTGCAATGGTTGGAAGGAGAATAGAAGTGTATGTTTCTTGGCTTCAGCCGCTATCATTTTCAGTCAGCCACTTCTGAGAGCATTTACTACAGTCATCAGCAACAGACATCACTGAGTACTGCCATTTCAAATCTAGAGCACTCACATTTGCCATATTTAGCAAACCATTTCTAAAGTGGTTCTTCTGTAATGTATGTAGCATGCATAGACTCAGAGTGAAGTTTTGCAGTGCAGCTATCCCAATCATTTGTTTCTGGCAGATCAGATTATATTTTAAGCCATTCAGCATCTCGTCACAGCATAAAATTGGCTGCAGAATATTTTCATAAGCGCTAGGGAGGTTGACCAACGTGAGCTGAGGGTGAACTGCCCGAGTCATGATTTATTCCCATCCACAAACAGCATGGTATCTATCTCAGCATATCATCATCCTGCTCTAACAACTGGCCACTTTGTCTTGGTCATTTGCTTCAGTCACAGATGCTGCAGTGCATGGTCAGATGCAGGCTCGTTGCACCAGGGGGACTAGGACACTTACTCCAACAAACAGTATGTGTCTTTAGCACCAGCCTTTTCTTTGTAATTACCGGTTGAGATTCAGTTGACCATATATTGCACCAAGTACCACTATAGACTGAGGAGGCTGCAAGAGTGGTGGACAGTGACACTGGAGACTTGGAAGAACGATGCCTTATAAAGAAACCTTTGGGGACCATGTATGTTGTCTAAAATGGCATTAAGCAGAAATATTTGGAAAATGAATCCTACTCGTTTTTCCTAAATGTATGCAGACAAGTCTGATTTACTGAGCACTCAAATTACATTTCTTCCCCTGAAGGATACTGAATAAATGCAGCTCAGCTTATCTATCTTCTCTCATTTAAGTTCACCATAAAAAAAAAAATCTCTGAATGCCACAGGGAGTGAAGCTCATCTATTACACTGGCAAAGGCTGGTCACTGTTATCATTCTTCCAAAACTCTATGATGTAATTTATCTCATCTAACTGAAAATGTCTACAACTAAGCTAGTAAATCAGTTGGCTTTCCTCCTTCCCCAGAAAAGAGAGTTATGGGCACTTCAGTATTATGGCCCATGTGACCTACTGAAGCCTTCTGCTTTTGCTTGAGTTTTATTGTGCCTCTCAAGTGCCCGTTTCTACCCATCAACAATCATGAGAGCCTTAGCCAGTGGGATGCAGACCTCTGCAGAGCAAAGTTCTGTATCAGGACAGAGGAATTCCTAGCCCTCATTTCTGGACATGTAGGTATAATACATATATGTGAGTATTGTGTGCTTGTTTGATGCTTTTTATAACACTTCAGAAGTTACTAGTCATTACTATTAGGAATGAAAAAAGAGCTGCATTTTTGTCCCTGCTTTGTCTTTATAGAATTTAGTAGCTGGTGGGCAAGAGTGGCCTTCTCAACAGGACATGTTGCATTTAATGCAATATTGAACTGATCCTAACAACATCTTAATTTAAAACACAGAACACAGGAAATATTAGCCTGGCTCTAAGTCTGCCTCCAAGTATAGTGCCTGCCCACAAGTCCTGAAAGCAAAAGTAACACACATTGATTGTAGTCCCAGGAAGGTTGGTTCAAGTTTTCATTTCTTATTTCAGACATTTCAGAAGAATGTAATCCCAAATTATTATCCAGACTGTGCGCACTGAAGTTGTAAAGCAGGGTGAATACTCTTTCCCCCGTGGGATTACATGTCATCACAATGCTGAGTTTTCCATAGCAGGAAAAAATAAAAAATAAAATAAAAAAATCTGAACGTAAGGGGTATATAAGTTATTTTTAAAACTGTTCTTTATATAGAAAATTGCCATGTGCCTGGGGAATGAGTGCTTGGCAGGCTCACCACAAAGAGGCCCAGAAAATCTATATCAGGGCTGCGTCAGGTTCTGATGTATGTCCTTTTCTTGAGTAGCTCTAGTAAAATTAACATCACTCATTCTATCAAATAAGATGACATTCATTTGGTATTTCATATATATGTACAAACAGACACTACATAAACACAAGGCTAGGCTGATAAGCATCTCTCTCTCCATATGTTCATTACATTCACTAATAGTACTTAGTATTGTGAAGCTGAAGGCAACAGGACATTCCCTTAAAAATCTATCACAACTGATTTTTTTCCTTATCTTAATATTCTCAGCACCAGGTTAGGATGGTTGTCAGCTCCCAACAGGTACTGAGACAGAGAGCTGTGCAGGCAGAGAAGTGTAGCCCTGTCAAGCATTAGCTGTGTTAGACAAAGCATATAGCATAAAAACTCAGAGTTATCAGCAAGTGAACTGCAAATGTGCAATGCACTGAGGGCAGTCAAGACACTTGCTGCTCCAAACTGTGTGCGATCTATCCAGCAAAGGTAGGGCTGCATGCTGCATACAAATGGGCAGCCTGGAAAAGGTGTCAGAACAAGATGTAAATCACACTTCTTTGACCCAGGTGCCTCCAAATAATGAGGTATGGAAAATAAAGGATAACTTCTCCTTGAAGACTTGAAAGAGAGGAAGCCAGGAGGAAGAGACAGGGCGCATTCCCAGAGGCTTCAAATTAACAAAACACAACAACAAAAAAGAAGCAGTCAGTCAGTTACTCTATGAAGAGAGATCATATATTACCTTCATTAGAATAAAGAAAATCATCATCTGAGTAATTACTATGCTACCAGTGGCTTTCCAGCTGGTAGGGTCAGAGGTTGACTATATGAAACTGCAAGACTGTGGGAGTTATTTCAGCTTTGCATCACAAACAGGGAAAAACCAAGATGCAGCTGAGTGTGAAAACTGACTTAAAGGACACAGCCCAATAGCAGCACTGAAGCAATCCCTTCAACGTGCCCTGGGTTCCTGCGGCCCTGTCCTGGGTGGGGGTCTGGGGAGGATGGCAGCAACCCCAGCCTCACGCCCTGGCCCCAGCCCCTCCCAGCCTGCCCAACCCTAGCTGGCAGAGCCTCTGTCCACCACTTTCCTTTCAGGGAATGGTCGTGGTGTTGGCCAGCCACTGCATGCCCTTGTGTAGGGCAGAAGAAGAATGCCAAGATTACCCCTAGCAAGCAGAAGACAGACAGAGTAGATAGAGTGGCTCTGCTCCCCAAAGCTGAGTCTTTCCTGTATGTGTTGCAAAGTGACCACCCCCCTGGTACCTCCCTGCAGCACCTCTGTCACCAGCACTCTGGGTATCTCATGCTCTGTCCCACTGAGAAAAGCCTTTCAGAGCCATCTACCCAGTGTTTAACACTCACTCTCTCTCCAAATTCAAGCAGCCTTCCCACAGAAGCACCCTCTGCAGACGGGTTAGGAGCTCTCACTGAAGGCGGGGATGGCGAGGGACCATGCCTGTATGATCAAGAATGGAAGGGGAAAACCAGATGCTACTTATTTTACCCTCTGAGAGAAGTCTGATTCCCTAAGGCCCAAGTGTTACATGGGGTCATACTAAATATGGGAAACAAAATAAACTTCTGTGACCACTTGTTCATGTTGTTTATTACTGTCAACATATTTCACTCCAAAAATGCAACATGAATGCAAATTGCCCTTGCTCTCTCTTGCACTCACTCCACATCCTCATCAGCCACATCCCTGTGTCTTGCAAAGGTCTCTCCTCCCAAGACTTTCTCCTTTGACCAAAGGCAATACTTCTTCCAGAGACAATTCAAGCTGCAATGGGACATTCCTCTCTGCAAGATGTTGGGTTTGGCTTATCTACATTCAGAGTGCTCAGCAGAAGTTTCCCTGCAACACAGTTCTCGCTATGTGTCTATCAGTGTCCAAGCAGAAGGATGGGAGAGAGGAGCACTGACCTTCACTAGTGCTTTTGTTGTCTGGAATACTGGAGTGTAAAGAGCCTGACCTCCAGCTGAGCAGAGCCTGGCCCCACTGACATACCTGTAAACAGTCAGGTCTGAAAATGGCCAGCATAGCAATTCTTTGCAATTCATTCCTACTGTGTGGGATCCTTCCTGAACTGTAGGGTTATGCTGGGTATTTTCCTTTCCCTTTCCCCTCTCCTTTCTCTTTCATTTTCCTAAACCATAAACCTCAATACACACCTCAATCAGAAGTCACTAGACCTCAAATGGGAAGGAAAATTATTTAACTGGTGGGGCTGAGTGTAATCACACACAGTGGATTTGCTTACCACTTCTCCATGCTTGCATCCAGGCCTGAAGTACGTTGTCCTACATGAGCAGGTAGACAGGACACTAAGCTGGCAGCATCAGAAGTATATCTCGCTGAAGCAAGAAGAAGCAAGCCCAGGCTGCTATGGTCCAAGGAGAAGGTTACCCTATAAAAATAACACCATGGCTTCAGCTTCATCCTTAACCATGAATAAGGAACTTCATCCAGTAGTAATGGAGCTATCAGGGATTTAATACTGTGGTGAGACAACCTTGAAAAGCAGACTGGAGCACATACATCAGTATTTACCTAGTTTGCAGCATTTTACTGCATTATTCTACATTTAAGTAGCCCAATTCAAAATTATTCCCTGGCTCCTAGCCATCATCTTACACAGCAGCTCCTGAACTGCTGTAGATTGACTTCCTCTGGAGATGTGTATGGTCCTGTGACCTCTAGAGGCCACTGTCATAGGGACCATTAGCACAAATGACAGGCAAACCTGCTTCTCTCACATCCTGAAAAAAAAACTCCCAGGAAAGGATAAGCAGTTTAATTCCCATACTATGAAGTAAATGACATTTTCCACCGCCTTTCTTAGAAGAGCCAAAGGTCTCACATTCCCAAAACAGAAGAGAGATTTCTTCATGAAGACTACCAAAACCATTTCTGCGTTCCTTTTTTTTCCCAGGTCACAGTGCTCTAGGTTCGCTTCTCCAAAATCCCAGGAGCCTTTATTTTGGTTTGCATGACACTGGTAAAGATTGCAAAAATATAATTTGCCTGTTTGTAATATCCCTTCCCTCCTTAAAACAAACAAACAAAAAAACCACATTAACTCAGAATAGCACAGCTGCTGATGGTGATTGGATGCAGGAGCAGACAGGTGGTCCTTCTCTGACAGCGCTGTGCTCACTCCTAGTCTTTTGTTACACAAAAGTTGCTAACTGAGAAGGAAAGTCCACAATATCTTGAAGCTCCAGTGTCCCAATTAATCCCCCTCATAGATTTAGCATGCTTGTCACATTTAACCACAGCAATTAATGAAACAATCTCCAGTAGGCCAGAGGCAGAGCAGCATCCTGCCTGCATTGCAGCCTCTGCAACAAGCTCCTCTGCCTGTCAGGTCCAGACAGGGATGGCAATCTTTGCTTTAACTCCCACAGAGTGATTCTCTGTGCCATTAAGCCAGCTTTCCATGATCCGAACTCCTTTTAAACAACACCACCATGGTTCTGGCCTCAGTCCAGCCAGGACAGATCTGGGAGAAAGAGGGAGCAGCACCTCCTGTGCTCTTGTAGCCTTTTATGCTCTCCATGGAAGGCGAAGGCTCAGTGCCTGCTTAGCAGAACCCCAAAAACACAAACTAGATAAGTGCCTCCCCCACTGTCTTGGGAGCAAGGGCTGTCAGTGCTAATGAGGCTCAGAGCAGGTGATGCAATTATCATCTGAGAACATGAGTAGGATGAGACAGATGTTGCTTTCAGGGTTCACTGCTTTATTAGAGACACCTGCTAGCCGTTTTGCATGATACCCCCCCTAGCCACACCAGACACAGCTTGTCATAAAATGAGCTGGTACAGCTCAAACCAAAACCCTCTAGGCAATATCAAAGCCATCCTTAAGGCTGCCCTTACACTGTGGGAGTCCCAGCAGGAGTTGAAAATGAGATCATAAATCATTTTTAAATAAAATTGATATGCCACTTTTGCTTCATGAGACTCTGCCTCTAAGCTTATACTTCATCACAAGCCCCTTATTTCCAAACCAGAGTCCTCTTCTCCCCAGCCATGTGGCTTTGCAGCAACCCCAGTACCTTCTCAGTCCATTTCCAGCTCCTCTGGACGCAATGCTGGATCTCACACCTTTTGCATTGCTGGGACTGCATGAAATCCCAAGTCAGGACATGGGAACAGCCTCTGTCAGCGCTGGTAAACACTTCAGGCAGAAACTCACGTTTGCATGAAGCTGCAGAGGAACAATGACTCCATGCTGATCTGCACACTAGGGATGTGCTGGCTACCTTCAGGCTTGAGGCTGCTGTAAAAAGCGAGTCCCAGCTGATATTTGCCTGATTGGATACAAGAACTGCAGTCAGAATGATACAGGGAGACCAGGAGTGCAGAAAAACAGCACCTGTGTGAAATCACAGCCAGGCACCTGTTGTAAAACCTTACCTGACAAATCATCAACAAGTCTGGGGACCTGACTTTGGACTATGGAGGATGAAGGGAACCAGGTAGACTGTGTGGAGCAAGTTCAAGTGCAACACCATAATAACAACTGGACTTTATTTGTGCTTGGATCCACCTTTGTTCACACAACCGGGAGCTGAGAACAAATGAGCAGTCTGGATAAAAATCCATTAAAGTGATTTATGGCTGCAAAGCACTTTGAGAATCTTGTACCCAAGGTAGTGCTGGAGTCCAAAGCATGATCTCAACACAGATGTCTGGCAGCAGCAAGAAGCACTTTGTAGATCACCACAGACCAAAATTACTTTAGTTTCAGGGTCATAGACACAGGCATAAAATCACACCTGTGAGATGCATTGTTCCTGCTCTTGGGCTGGGTTGGGGGAGCAGCTAAGATCTTCCTCAAAGGAGGCAAAACAAGCTCACAGTATCAACACACACGAAATCTCTTTTTACCACCAGCTCAACTTGGCAAGAGAGAATGACTCTTCTTATCAGTTGTGTTCATTCATTTAAATATTCCTTGGTTAATTAACACTGAGCACCAGCAGAGTCGGTGTTCCCCGAAGAGTGAAACATTTATTACCCTTCTTGCCTCCCTTCCTGAAAGACTGAGATGAAAGGAAGGTTAGGAGGAGTCTTTTCTGGGTTGTCTTCTTTCTCTTTTGTCTTTCACATTGGTTCCAGGAATGGAAAGTCATTAATCACCTATTGAGACAGCAGATAAGCGTTGCCTTGGGGTTAGCACGGATTGGAAAAGATCATTTAAGCATGGCAATTAATTGAAATGAGTAAGATGAGGAGAGACTCTTTATGCAGAACTAAGTAGCAGGTGATAGGTAGCAGATTTGGATTGATATTAAGAAAAATTGAGTGAGGAATCCTGGCTGACCAGAAATAAAAGTAAAAACTGAGTTATGAAAAGAAAAAAAAACAACAATACAGAAATGGAGAAAAATGCTCAAGGTGATAATGCCCAGTTTATTTGTAGCTTTAAATTATTCAAATGGAAACCTCTGGCCCCATCTCTCCTCCTAACCGTGTTAGCCATGTCGGCACTGCGCAGACAAAGCAGTATCAGCTGAATGTCAACCACTTTGAGGCTCCAGAAGAAGGATGCTTCAGACAATAATTGCATTATACATCTCTGTGACAAAGTTTTCTGTCTCTGCTAGACTCTGGAGTCAGTGCAGATATATGCCCTGGACTGCTGCAGCTGCAGGGTTGCGTGAGCTCTCATTGTGTGTTTGCTGGTTATGTGCATCCTGTCTCCCTACCACACAGCAAGGTTATGCCTGTATGTTTCTGCTTACCTCTTTTGATGTGAAAATCCACTGTTTGCATAAACAAATGTGTTTTCAATCCGTTTTTTGATCTCTCAGGGTTGCCATCCTTTTGATGATGTGTGCTTGCGTTAAAGGCGTACTGTGTATGACAGAGAGCGTCAGAGACTCCACTGCTTGAGCACTATGCTTCTTTAGCAAGCTGCTGCTCACATGCAATCCACCCTGGCCTCCTGGCACTCACTATCCCCTCCACCACATTCCTCACACACCCATGTGTGAATGAAATCCCAGGAAGTTCCTGCTTCCACGCTGTTCTCTCAGGTCAGGATGCACTCATTGCTGATGTACAGAGGCAGGCAGTGCCACCAGAACACCGTCAAGTTCTGATGCGTTGCTGAAGGAGCTTTCCCCACAAGTTGGGGAAATGACCTGTTTTGAAGAGCTGACACAGAGCAATAATATGATCAGTACAACTAGGGTAGAGCATAGGTGTTCTGTGGTGAAAAGCCTGAATTCATTGGAGTCTCCGGGAGGTATGATTTGTCCAACACGTAAGTCTTTCAGTTTCCATGTGGGTTACTTCTACTTCTTTGCTAAGCTTGCGATATCTGCCCAAGAGACAGTTTCCCCATGGCACATTCAGAGCTGAAGTTTCATTAAGGTAAACAAAATCTCACAGCAAACGTTTCAGTGTTTACATGTTGCAGTCTCTGTAGGAGAGATGGCATTAGGAGAACTCTACCTTGTTCAGCAGCAATAGCAACAAGTGCTGCTTCTTAAATACCCAGACCTCATAGCAATGCAGCAGGGCTGCAGCGTGTCAGGCTCTGTTGGCAGGGTCTGCCAAGCTTCACAATGGAGCCCGTTTGGATTTCTGGCTGAGGTCCACTTGCTACAGGCAGAAATCACACCAGAGAGCAGACAGGATCCCCAGTTTGTCACCTGAGCAGCTGTCAAAACAAGCTTTTATCTCTGAGGAAAACTGAGGAAAGGAAGGATTTCCAAATGAAAAATTAATTAAATTTACTGATAATATCGGCTGGCTATGAATTGTTACTCTGTGGGGGAAGAAGGGAAACAGGAGTGAATTTCATTTCAGAGACAACCGTGCGTTCAGAAGTCAGAATTTCTCTCCTGCTTATTACAGAGCAACTCACAGTCTTCACAGTGGGGCATTGGTACCCAGCATTGTTTTCAGCCTCTCTGTGAATCCTGACATCAAGCCATGGAAGGTCTTTTGGTAAATACACCTTGGAACAGTCTATTCCAGCTGGTGGTCTCCAGGTAAATTAGCAGCCTCTTAGCATCATCCCCCCTTGCACCTTCATCTGAAACAAACTGCTCTGAAAGGGCACCCTTGCCTTTGCAAGAGATGGCAAAATACATAAAAATCATTTACCTCCTGCAGCTGGCAACTGCTCCCTGTGCCACATGTGTGGAGCATCCAGTTTTGAGTTTTTTCATTCTTGCTGAATAAAAGGCCAGTTTTAAGATATCTTTGATGACTTCTAATCAAAATTCAATATTTGGTATGATAATTTCCTTGCATAAATACCCAGTTCAGCACCTAGCCAGGCTGATCTAAAGCATCAATCTTGAGGAAATTGGAGAAGTTCATAATAAGCTCTCAATCACATTTGCAGTGCAAGTTTAACACCATTTCTGCATGGCTTGGCTCAGTCTAAGTCCTGAAGGACCAATAACACCCAGAGCAGCTGTGATTAAAGTTCACACACTGGACTGTCATTTAGTGGACATTAAACTAATTACAGAGCTGCTGGCTTCAGAGAAAAAATGATTCTGCCATCATAAAAGATACCAGTGCTATTGCAGTGGCATCTGTTCAAAATAAATCTCAAAAGAAACCAGAGTTTCAGGTAGCAACTTCATCCAGGAATGGAAACTTGAAACTGGCTCTGCTGCAGTAGGGCAGACTCAGCTTTCTGAAAACAATGCTTCTTCCAGATAAGGCTGGCACACTCAACTCTCTTCTCATGCACTATTACTGCACAGTATAGGGAGCATGAATCATGATACATCACAACACATGATAGCTAGGGAAAATTGAACCTCTGAAAACTGAGATTAAAGGGGGAAAGCCACAACAATAAATAATAGTATAGAGAGATAGGGCCGGAGCATACAAATTAGATGTCTCAGAGCTGGTTTTGGCCTATCATGTAGCCCTTGGTAATGGACTGTGGACACACTTTATCTTCCTAATATCCTATGGCAAGTGTGGGATGATAATTAAAAAAAAAGTGAAGCATGAGGCTGTCTGATACCAAGTCAAGATGTGCTGATAGCTAAGGATCAGAGACTTGTATATTCCCCAGTACAGCCTTATTGTCAGTCCCTGGTAAGCTGGAATAATAAAAATGGTAGACAACAATACCTCAGTGGTGCAACTAATCACAGAGCACTCATGGGCAGCTACCAAAGGAAAACTTGAGGGTAAAATGCTGTAAATGTACCACATGGCTCTGGAGCGTTTAACAGCTGAACCAGGAGTTACAGCTAAATTGAAAATCACACTGTAAGAGAGAGAGAAAGGTGCAGAAAAATTTGTTGTATCCACAGTTAAATGAGCTGAGTCTGCAATATCTGTGATGTTTTGTTCAATATCTACATCAGTGACTTGGATGAAGGGATAAAATGGACTCTCAGCAAATTTTCTGCTGATATAAAGCTGAGAGGAATGGCTGACACACCAGAAGGCTGTGCTGCCATTCAGTGAGACTTGGGCAGGCTGGAGAGTTGGGCAGAGAGGAACCTGATGAGGTTCAACAGTAGCAAGTGGTAAGGTCCTGTACCTGGGGAGGAATAACTGCATGCATCAGTACAGGTCAGGGCTGACCTGCTGGAAAGAAACCATGCGGAGAAGGTCTCAGGAGTCCTGGTGGAGAAGAGGTTGGCCATGAGACAGCAGTGTGCCTCTGTGGCCAAGGAGGCCCATGAAATCCTGGGTTTGTTAAAAAGAGGTGATCTTCCCCAGATACTCTGCGCAGGTGAGGACACATCTGGAATGCTGTGTCCAGTTCCTGGCTCCCAGTTCAAAAAAGACAGGGAACTACTGGAAAGAGCTCAGTGGAGGGTCACAAAGCTGAAGCGCCTCCCTCACAAGGAAAAGTAGAGTGACCTGGGACTGTTCAGCCTGGAGAAGAGAACACTGGGAGGGGATCTTACACTGTTTATAAATATCTGAAGTGCAGGAGTCAAATGGATGGGGCCAGGCTCTTTACAGTGATGTGCAGCAATAGAACAAGAGGCAATGGGCACAGATTGGAATACAAGAAATTTCATACAAACGTGAATGTATGGGGCTGCTGAATCATGGCCTGAACCTCTGATAGATCACCTGAGGCGAGCAATGAGGCAGCCAAAGGAACACAGGTGAAGGCAATTCAGCTGCGCTGCAGGATAGGCTGGAGCCTGGCTGCACCTCTCCTAAACCTGCCTAAGAGCTGACTGCTAGGGGGGAAGGATCTCTTCTGGAGATCCACTCTACTGGAGTTCATCACACAAGCCTAGGATAGGGTGAGCGTCCTTCTTTCCTACTCTAGTA